ATACCTGGTATTCCACATATTCATTTATTCAGCAAATATTTTCATAACTGTTACTATTTTTTAAATTGCCAAGTAAAAATTGTATACATTTGTGGTGTACAACATGATGTTTTGAAATCTGCATGCATTGTTGAATGGCTAACTCAAGCTAATTAACACGTGCATGACCTCACATACTTATCCTCTTTTTGCAGTGATAATACTTTTTTTTTTTTCCCCACAAGGTCTGGTTCTATTGTCCAGGCTGGAGTGCAGTGGTGTGATGCCGGCTCACTGCAACCTCCACCTCCCACACTCAGCCTCCCAAGTAGCTGGGACTACAGGTGCACATCACCACACCCAGCTAATTTTTGTGTTTTTAGTAGAGATGGGGGTCTTGCTATGTTGCCCAGGCTGGTCTCAAGCTCCTGGGTTCAAGTGATCTGCCCATCTCGGCCTCTCAAAGTGCTGAGATTACAGATGTGAGCCACCATGCCTGGCCGAGAATACTTATTCTACTCTGTTAGCAATTTTCAAGCATACAATACATTGTTATTCATTATAGTCACCATGTTGTACAATACATCTCTTACACTTATTCCTCCTGTCTAACTGAAATTGTATATCCTTTGACCAACTTTTCCCAACCTCCACTCCCACCTCTGCCCCAGGCTCCTGGTGACCTCCATTCTACTCTCTGCTTCTTTAAATTGCACATATAAGTGAGGTCAAGTAGTATTTATCTTTCTGTACCTGGCCTATTTCACTTAACATAATACCCTCCAGGTCCATCTATGTTGTCACAAATAGAAGCTTCCTCTCTCTGAAGACTAAGTATTATTCCACTGTATATCTGTACCATACTTTCTTCACTCAATTATCCATGGATGAACACTTACGGTGAGTCCCTGTCATGATTGTTGTAAATAGGAGTGTTGCAATGACTGTGGTAGTGCAGGTGTTTCTTTGACATACGGATTCATTTTCCTTTGGATATATACCCAGTGGTGGGATTGCTGGATGATATTATATGTCTATTTTTAATTTACTGAGGAAGTTTCATACTATTTTCCATAATATCTGTGCTAATTTATTTCCCACCATCAGTGTATCAGTTTTCTTTTCTCCACGTCTTTGCCAACGCTTGTTTTCTTCTTTCTTTCTCTCTCTTTCTTTCTTTCTTTCTTTCTTTCTTTCTTTCTTTCTTTCTTTCTTTCTTTCTTTCTTTCTTTCTTTCTTTCTTTCT